TTGTCATCAGAGATGCAACTATGAGAAACCCAGAAGTTGGCTTCTGTCAGTTTGGAGTGTTTTTCAAGTATTTTAAGAAGTAGATACTTTTAGTTTATGAGATAAAAGCTTTTCTACACAACCACAGTCACTGAAAGGCAATGGCAGGATCAGAAGCCCAAATAATATTCTGCTGAGCTGTTCCCAGGCCCACTACAGGAGCCATCAGGAGGGGTTTGGGAAGGAGACACAAATTAAGAATTCAGAAGAATGGACACCCTGTTCATGCCCCTCCCAGGGATATCTAAGGAGAGCATCAGCCCCAATGTCCACATGTGACACCTATCACAAGGAGTCAACACTAGAGCAGCTTTTGAATTGCAAGGTTGCTACTGTATGGTACTGGTCACAGAATATAGGGGAAGAGCATTTGGGGATTGCACAGGATTTATTATAGGGTGTTCTGGGAGGAACCAAGGGTGGGGAAAGGTGATTTGATGATTAGATGATTAGGAGAGGAATTTTTGTGGAAAAACAAAGGAGTATGGGAAAAATATATGAAACTATATGTGAAGATTATGAAAGTATATGAAAATGAAAGTATATGAACTCATCTTAAAGTAACTATTAATGTCAAAAGTGCTGAAAAGCTTTAAATGCATTGTGTATATCCATGCTATATAGTTATACTTTGAGTCTTACAGCTGAATCTAACAAATGATTTTAAAGAGACTGCAGAGGTGTGCATTACTTATGGATGTCCCCATTTTCCATTGAAAATTTATAGCTTTGAATTTCATTAAAATCATTTTTGTATTTCTTATGTACCTGCAGGTACATTTACATGTTCTTTCATAATGCAGCGAGTATGCTTCAAAATAATAAAACAATGGAATCTACAAGAATGGAAGAAATCCAGATTATTTTGAAAGAAACTATGACTCAGACATAAGCTAACTGTTGGGAAAATATGAGTGTAATATATTAGAAGAAGTGAAGATGGGTCAAAAAAAACTGCTCACAGATGTGAGATATGTCAACACGGGGATGAAAAGCTGGAAAAATATTCATCCGGTGAAAGTTATTAGTGAAAACAAAAAATAAGAGGAATTCAGTCCAAGACTGATAATAAGAAACAATCTTCTGCTCATGATGGTCTCCCTTGTTCTGTATGTTATCTATTTGTCCCCAATGAGGAATAATTCCAGATTCTGGAAATGATTGTCTTGAAATCAAGTTCTTGTCTTATACTGACATAAATGTCCACCACGTGGACTGAAATTCCACCAAAAAGTTGAAAGCTGGTCAACTTTCTTTAAAAAGTTTATCTGAAAAGATGAAAAACTTGAGATTTCTGGCTTGTGTGTCTCAGCAGTATGTGTTACAGCATTTGTGTTTAAGTTTCCTAGTTTACCGGCTTTCTAAATTTCCTTCAGATCTGTCTTGATCTAACTTCCATTAAGAGGCATAGAGTTAACAATTTGAGTATAGCAACAGTTTTTGGAACAGCATGCATATATTTCAAACTTGATGAGAAAATGTTTTATCTGGTTTATGAGAAGTGTGGTGTAAATGCCTGAAGTAACTAGGAAAATAAAACTAACATTCACATTTTTAAGGAAAAGGTACAGCATTGAAGAGGCTTTCAGGGTAGGGCATAACTGCATTATCTGAGCGTTCCCTAGGCTCCCAACCTTAGATGCTATCGCGCTGGGGAAACTTAGTGCTAGCTCTAATGAACACCACGGAGCGTAGAGTGGAGTGGAGACACCACGGCTAGGCTCTGTAATCAGGTGGGGCCTCGATTGTTCTTGTGCACAAAGCTGCACTTTTTGCCACCCTAAGCCAAAGACCTGTCATGTTTTGACAAATGCTGTACCCTAGTGTACTTTTTGCTCATTATGATATCATTATAATACCAAAACACACCTCCATCCCAAAAGCTACCCACCTCCAAGGTGCGACCACCCCTCACTGAGCATGCGCTCTGAATTTCTCGGAGCCTATTACTTTAAACGGAAACGGGAAAACTTTACACCAATCATAACTAAGATATGCTTGACTAGAGCCACTCAAGCTCCACCTAAAAGATAGAAAATAATATAAATTGGCCCAAGAGAGAGGGGATGTTAGGGGAAGATACCATCGTCAGGGGAGATACCATCCCGAGGACATACAACATCCTTAGGACCTCCTGACTCCTGGGATCAGTCGACGGGCTGAGCCTCTCTTCTCCCCCCATTGGGACGCCTTTGGGTGAGATCTGAATATTTGCTTATAAATCTCTATAGAGTCTTTGATCCTTTTAACGTGTTTATTTCTAGGCTGCGCACCTGTAACACCTATAACATCTGTAACACATAACATCTATAACATCTGTAACACCTACAACACCTGTATAACATCTGTAACACCTATAACACCTGTGTATTTCATGCATACTAGCTTGCTTTCGCAGATAGTCACTATCACCGGCAATCCAAAAGAACCTGATTATCTGTTGCTGTAATAAACCATACTTGATTGCATTGTGATAGCTCTCATTAATGCAACTAGGGTGAGGGTGGTTATCCGTGATAGTTCAGTGTTCTGAATCTAACCAGACCCCCAGACGGTTAATGCATTGTTGGTGAAAGTCTGAACGGACCCCCAGGTGGTTAATACGTTTTTGGTGAATGTCTGAGCGGACCCCCAGGCGGTTATTACGTTTTTGGTGAATGTCCGAACGGACCCCCAGTTTTGGTGAATGTCCGACTGGTTCAGTACTCTGAATCCAACCGGGCCCGTAACGGTTAATCAGCTACACCCCTTTAACGCGACAAGAAGAAAAACAACAACAATGCAAAAAAACATTCCACAGAGTTAATTTCCCTTTGTGTGTGATCCAATGAAAATTATTAAACTTAGCAAGAAAATATTATAGCCTCCTCTTTCATCTATAATATTATTTGATTGCTGAGAAAAGCAAAACCTCATCATTTGAAAGAACAATAGCATGTCTTTCTAAGGAAGATCAGGCTAATTTCTGTACAACCTCTTATAGAACATTTAATGAAGCAGTTTCAGAAATTTTATAATATTGAATGATTGTTTTAAGAAAAAAAGGAAAGAAAAACATGAGAAAAAATACACTAGGATGCTTCTGCTTAAAGATATTTTTGCAGGGAGTTAATAGTCACTGGAATGTCCTTAAACACTGTTGCAGATAATGGTGATTTTTACATAAAACTGTTGCCACACATCTTGAAACTTCTGATAATTTTAGTAGATTGGATGAGCTATAAACAATGCACAAGACCAAAAATATTATCTATTTTTTTATTGTTTTCAGTATTCACCTGTTCCTGTCATAGATATTTATATAAAATAATCAGCATAATTTAACTCTTTGTAAAAGGTCAGCTAAGTCTTTCAGGCAGCAAATCTTCCCAGCTCCTTGCTTTTTCTGATTCTTCATTACAAATATATATATATAAGTAAATATAAATAAATATATTCATTCAATATATTTAAATACATTAATATCATTTTATTGTCCAATATATTTAAATATATTTAAATATTTAATATGGTTAATTTAATAAAAATATAAATAAGTATATATCCATTTATTTATAAATGAATAAATAAATATATATTCATTTATTTATATATATATATATATTTGGCTACTGAGCCTTTTAGAGAGCACATGTACATAACTTTCAGATTCTTCGAAATCATAGAATCATAGAATGTCTTGGTTTGGAAGGAACCTCAAAGATCATCTAGTTCTAGCTGCCAAGGGGTTGGAATCATAGGCTTAAGAGTGCATAATATCTTAAAGTTATCAAAAACTCCTTTGCAATTGTTGCATTCAAATAGTTGGGTCTTTAGTGACAGCAAACGCCATGAAAGTCATGATTAAATTATCAGTGCACATAATGCTGTGGCTGCCTCTCTAATTAGAAAAACGATAAGTAATGACAATAAGATACTTTAGAGTGTGCATAAAACTCTCTGCATTGTACAGGATCAGAGAAATAAAATAAGAAAGAGCCTCGCAAAGCTGCAGTGGACTCTCAGGCTTCACAGAGATGTTGGGAGCAGCCCAAATGTGGCCAGTGTGAAGTAAGATTACAAATTAGGGAGAAGGCAATGCAGCTGAGTTAGAGGCTGTTGGCATGAATGAATGATTGTAGGAAAGGAGAAATATATGAAGGGCCAAAGGGAGAGAGTGAGTGATTTCCATAAGGTTAGTTAGTGGAGAAAAGACTTGGATAATTTAATGTCTGCATGTTGATATTTGTCCAAGCTAAACTAAAAGGCGGCACTTTCTGTAGTCAGCCTTTCTCAAGTTCAAATCCCTTTCTGCACTTAGAGAGCTTCATGGCAACAAAGTGGAAAAAAAAAAAAGATAAAAAAAAAAGATGATGGCTTCAGGTAAGAATAAGCAAAATTTATAGTTTTAAGGCAATACTCTTTGATGATAAATGATGTAGGAAAATCTAGCACCTCTCAGCAACACTTTTCTCGAAGCTAACATTTCAAATTTTTCAGGAGTTTTCTTTCAACAATATTAAATAGAAACTAGATTCTTTGTACAATGCTTTCTTGTTCTTATAGCTGATGATTAAGGATAAATCATCTATATTTCCCTACTTTTCCTGAGTGAATAGCAGATTTTTCTTTGCGCATTTTCTTCTGTAACTCATTCCATGGAGCAGTTGAAACTGAACTACTCACAACTTCATTTTCATAAGAAGGAAAGTAAAAAAGATGATCTTTCCATGCTTATGTTATTTGGCACTTTTAGCTACTAAAATTACCAAGAAGCAGTATTTTAAATTTTATTTTATTTTTTTCAAAGGACTCATGGGGGGACTTTCAGGTTTATGTTGTCCACTTCTCTGTTTCTTTACCTGTCCCTCACTTTCTCTTCTACTCTGTTTTTCTTTTTTTTTTAGGGGAAGAAGACTTTCTCATGATCTTCTGTCTCATACACCAATGTATGAGACAAATATGTCTTATCTTTTTCCCAGGCTTAAGAGATGCAGCATCAAGACCACTGGATTTAGAAATTGTTGGAAGACACTAAAGAGAACCGATTGCACTTATGGATTGCTTATGATTTGGAAGAGAAAGTGAATGCTTGAGTGCTTTACTCCAGTTCACACCTCACCCAGATTTCTTTATGTCCAAATAATGTTTGGGTCCTAGGAAGAGCTGCATAAAACAAAGGTGCCAGTCCAGGCTTTAAGCAGTGAAGTGGCACTTAAAATTAGAGCTTTTGAGTGCAGTGTGTAAAAGTCCGGCCAAATGGGGGAATCTCTGAAATTGTGACTCTGATTGAAAGATCTTTACATATACCTAGGTATTCACCTCCACTTGCTGCCACACAAAATCTTTCGATGGATTAGGCACACAACTAGAATATCATCTATTATAATGTTATAATGTCATCCATTCTTTTGCAGCACTGCATCTGCTAATTTCCCTTTCCCCACCTCGTTTTCACCTTTTAACCTAAATATCTGTTCCCACAGTTCCAATCTTGTTTTCTTGTTTCTGTGAGCCATGCAAATAAATCCATCTGACCTGCATAATGTATTGTTTGGTTCATAAATGTATTCTTGTATCTGAACCTTGTGTTTTACAAATTTGTGTCTGTACTATCCCAAAACAACATCATATTGCACATTATGTATAACAATGAGCATTGATATGTGCATACTTTTTTTCCTTTTCTTTTCTTTTCTTTATTTTTTTTCCCCCTGTAGCAGATACACTTGAGGAGAACACTAAATCTCTGTGGCAGCCCTTAGCCTGTAACACAAACACATTTATTTTGCTACAGAAAACAGCAGTAGCAACAGAAAGCCACCAGATATTGGAGATGAATAAAAATATATTAAATGGCCATGACTCTTTCATAACGTAATTTAACCTCTCTGAGGAATTTAATTAATTTTTCTTTCTGCAATTCTGAGAAAAGATATATTGTGCATATGAAAGAGTTCATTTTCATTTGAGGATACAGGATGCACTTTTCTTGCTAAAAGGAACATAAAATTTGCCTGTGAGATTATAAAAATAAGAATGAAAAAAACAGCAACATTGAAATGTCTTCTAGAAAAATTCAGAGAATTCTGTCTTCAGATTTTAACTGCAATCCCTATAAAAATAATTAGTGTTCTACACAAAACTTCTCATGAGGCTTAAGGGTCCTCACTCTTTCTTTATTATTCCTCAGTAAAAGCTGCAATATGGAGGTTTTTTTTTTTTAACTTGTTGTGGACCAACCCTTTTATGGGCAGGGGTCCTCTGCCTTCAAAATTTGCAGCATATACAGGTATAACATTGTGTGAAATGTGCTCAGAATACAGGTATAGATGAGTCAGTGATCGATGAAAATAAAATCAAAGTTTTCCATCCCAGTTTCAACTATTACATGCACAATTTGTTCTTCTTCTTTCAGGAATGAAATATTAAAGAATCAGAACAAGACCAAAAAAATACAGAAGTGACCCTCTCTCTTGTATTTAGAAGCTCTGTGCTGCTTTTTGCAGGTATTTTCCCCTTGTTTGCAGAAGCCAGTATAAATGAACCATTGAAGTTCAATATAGTGAAAAACTACAGACTTAATGGTAGATTTACAGAGTTTTTCATATTTCCAGAGTTATCCTCAACCAAACACAGAGAATACACATATACATAACCTTGCCTTCTGCTTATCTGCTCAAAGTACTTGTTTTGCACCCACCTTCAAATTCAGGCAAATTTCTGTTTGTTCTACTCTTCAGCACATAGTTAAATGAACTAGTGATATAGTTTTAGACAAGGAGTTTTGTCCTGGACTAGGGTCTTTCAAACTAGAGCTGATAGCTAGCCCCCAAATCAGAGTTTAGCATATCACAGCTGCAACACTGATGAAGCACCAGCTAATCAGGATGAAGTAGAAAAAAATATGTTGTCATGAACTTCCTAAAAATCAAGCTAATAAAGGGAAAAACAGAAACATTCAAACATTCTTGAAATTGAAATTCAAGAACAATAACAGCAATAATCCAGACTGAAACTCTGGCAACTTGAACCTGATTGTGTCAGTTTACTCTATTCTATTTTCCCAGGCTTTCATTTCCTTTTGTTTGCTTTTGGTTTCCCTCCCACATCAACTCTTTGCTTTGTTAATTTCAGAATAATCCTATTTTTGGTAACACAAATTTCCTTTTAATATAAACCATTTTTAGATAAGGTTGTTGCCTTGTAAAACCATAAATCAAGATTTTATGCATATAGATTTGAAAATCTCCCATTACATAATGTAACAAAATGTTACATTACATTTTGTGTTTCTTTTACCACATAAGGAACAAAAGAGCAAATGCATGCAAATATAAGGCAGAAGAAAAATAGAGGCAGAAGGTATAGACATTTTTCCCTTCTGAATGTTCTGTACATTTGCAACTTAGAAATACTAAAATTTGCCACCAATTTCATGGGAAGGGCTGTCTAAATGGTGATTTGTTTAAAACCTGTAGCCTCCCAGGTTCTCTAACCATCTTGACTTAAAGTGAGAGCAGTATCTGCATATTGCCTATATCTGCAATTAAGAATCAGTTCTGTAGTCAATACAATTCACTATGCATTGACTGGTAAGTTCTGCTGTATTGTTTATAACAGCATTAGAACTCAAGTCAAGTTTTCTTTTACTCCAGATCTGGAGCTTAACACAATGGGTCTTAATTTTTCAACCTGCAGTTCTATATTAGGCTGGCAATGCATACCCAACTCAAACTGTCTCTAGAACAGCTTTTGTTTTCTGAATACACTGGTGAAAATCTAGACTAGTTGAATAGTGGAGTAGTGCTTTTCCTCATATTATCATCAGAGGGCTGGAACACCTCTCCTATGAAGAAAGGCTGAGAGGGTTGGAATTGTTCAGCCTGAAGAGAATTATCCAGGGAGACATTACTGGGCCTTTCAATGTATAAAAGGGGCCAGGTCTATAAGAAAGATGGAGAAGGATTTTTTTATCAGGACCTGTAGTGGCAGGACAAGGGGCAATAGCTGTAAACTGAAAGACAGAAAATTTAGATTGGACATAAGGAAGAATTTTTTTTTTTCATTATAATTCTACGTATAATTCTATGACATACAGAGAATTTGTGTTTTCTGCAGCACAGAAATTGGCATATATTTTATAGCTGATAATATTAAAAGAGTTTAGGGTAAACCCCAAACAACAGAAGAAACACTAAATGTGTAGAATTTCAAAATTTTACAGCATAAATATGATAGTTGTGAATAACATGGAATTCATGGTATGTTCACCACGAAGCCCAAGAGCACTCTATGCTGTACATATTAGTGATCTCTGAATTTTGTTGTGCTTTGTTCAAGAAAGGCCTGCTTTCAGCTGAGAGGAAATGGAAAGTCACTTACGCTGAATTGCTGTGGTCCTGATGTGATCTAAAGTTTAATACCCTCTCAGACCACATAAATGTTGCTTGTAGGAAGTGAAACTTGTGGTAATAAAAATGACAAGTTAATGTGTTTTTCTGCTGAAGTCACAAGTAGAAATTACTTCAATGATCTCATCGTAGTCCCAGATGGATGTTTGTCTCCATCAGAAACAATTTTGGTTTGGCTTGTTTTGAAAATTCTGTGAAGACAACAACCAAGGCAGAACAGCCGGCATTTAATGATTGAGATGTTCTTTTGATTAAAATTTGTGACAGCATAATATTGTATAGAACACAATTCTTCCAAAGAAAGACAGAAAGAACTTTTAAAATAACTTAATCTCATTGTTTCTCTTTGTCACGCATACATTTGTTTAATTTAAATCCATGTGATACGTACTGTCTGTTGGCTTAAATTAGTGAAAGTCAGTTAGCGTAGAACAATTTAGCTTCACTGACATCTGTAAAGCTGCACAAACAGTATACCAACTGACAGTGTGGGCAACAATATGAATTAGTCTTAGAAAAAAATGGCATCTTTGTAGTAAAGACAGTGAAATACATTACCATTAGTATAATTTCTCATTAAAGATCCAGTCTTGTGCAACCAGTATGTGGGACTGTTGACAATACATGTATTTTTAGTGGATCTGACATTAAATCTTGTGTGGTCAGGCAACTCTCCAGCTGAAATCCCTGTGCATGGCTGTGCAGCGTGAGGGGTGTCTGGTGGGTGAGACTTGTGCTCCTACTGGTTTTGCTGCATGGCTTCCCAGTTGAGTTTCTGCATCTCCTTCCATTGTTCCCCATAATCCTGTCTGCAATGAAGACAGCAGCCCTGGAAGATAATGATTAGATTTTTATTTATTTATTTATTATCAAAAAGATTTTGTGTCAGGTTTCTTCTCCATATTGTACCAAAGCCAAATTCAAACCTTGGCAGTATGCAATATTTACAATGGTGTGAATTTAGTGGAAGCATGTATAAATACACACACTTACTGAGGGCACAGCTTAAAACCCTGGCACTTTTTTTTTTTGCCATCCAACAGAGAAAGTCATGAGAGGAATCAAATGGCTGTCAAAGCAGATGTCATACTGAAACACATCTTCTGTATTCAACTATTAACTGTAAATGTCTCCATTGATCATATTAGATTTAAGACTATGCTCACAAAGAAAAATGCGTCTCTGAATTATTACTGTTTAATTTTTACCTGGAACAGTTTTCTTATATTAACACAACACCATAGAAATCTTCCAAAATGGCACACCAACCAGTAAAGTTCCAACATGTGTTTACCTCCAGAAAGCTACAACTAAGCTATATAAATAATATATTTTTTCCCTGAACCCTAAGAGTTTTGGGGATGATAAATGGCATGTGTGCTACACATACAAATCTTAAATGCCTAATTTAAAATAAAGTATTGGCCTTGTTTTCTTCTGGCAAAGGAAAAGCTCTGGGATAGAGAGGAAAAGGCTACACACTGCTGCTACTACTACTGCTACTGCTGCTGCTGCCACTACTACTTCTACTACAGCTACTACTATTAATAGTATTAATAGCAAGGATGTTTCTGAAATAGCAATTATCATGCCCATCTTAAATAGTACTGGCTGTAATGTGACCCAAGTACAGTGAGAAGACTGGTGTGTGAATATTGTGAGGAAGTTACTATGACGAGAAATTGTTAGAAAAATGCTAATAGCATAGATATAAGAATAGGGACTTTCTATTTCTCATTTTAGCTTGTGATCTCAGTTTGTGATCTCAGTTTATATTAAAATCTATATCCTAGTTTGAGTAAATTGTAGTATGTAATTTAGAGCTAAAGAGTTGCTATATGAGGGGAGACATGAAAGTAGAGGTTGACAGTTTGTTAGCTGACATGGCTTAAATGAAAACATTAGCAGATAAGGTATAAAACATCAAAATATATATGCATTAGAATGCTTAGAGATAAATCTTCCTGAGGATTTAGTTAGAGAACTCTTCAAAAGAGGAGTCTTATTGCACATCTCAAATGTGCAATATCCATCTTGTTTTTATTAAACAATTTGGATTCTGACTATGATTAAAAAGTATCAGTATGTGTTTTCTGGAATGGTATTTTTAAGAATGTGAATTTTATATCTTGTTATTACATATGATATTTCACATAGTGACTTCAATCACATTTATGTGACCATGTAGAATATTACACTAATTAAATGAGAGATACTTAACTGTCTCTTCTTTATATTACTGTTTGTAAAATTACCGGTTGCTCTCTGGATACCCAGTACCCAGAACTGGTGGAAGGGGACGGGGAGCAGGATGTGGCCCTCACCATCCACGAAGAACTGGTTGGTGACCTGCTACGGCACTTGGATGTCCACAAATCGATGGGGCCGGATGGGATCCACCCAAGGGTACTGAGAGAACTGGCAGAGGAGCTGGCCAAGCCCCTATCCATCATTTATCAGCAGTCCTGGCTATCGGGGGAGGTCCCAGCTGACTGGCGACTAGCAAATGTGACGCCCATCTACAAGAAGGGCCGGAGGGCAGACCCGGGGAACTACAGGCCGGTCAGTTTGACCTCAGTACCAGGGAAGCTCATGGAGCAGATCCTCTTGGGAGTCATCATGCGATACTTGAAGGGCAAGCAGGCGATCAGGCCCAGCCAGCATGGGTTTATGGAACAGCAGGTCCTGCTTGACGAACCTGATCTCCTTCTACGACAAAGTGACGCGCTGGGTGGATGAGGGAAAGGCTGTGGATGTGGTCTACCTTGACTTCAGCAAGGCTTTTGACACCGTCTCCCACAGCATTCTCCTCAAGAAACTGGCTGCTCTTGGCTTGGACTGGCGCACAGCTTTGTTGGGTTAGAAACTGGCTGGATGGCCGGGCCCAAAGAGTTGTGGTAAATGGAGCCAAGTCCAGTTGGAGGCCAGTCACTAGTGGCGTCCCCCAGGGCTCGGTGCTGGGGCCGGTCCTCTTTAACATCTTCATCAATGATCTGGACTGATGGCACTGAGTGCACCCTCAGTAAGTTTGCAGATGACACCAAGCTAGGTGCGTGTGTCGATCTGCTCGATGGTAGGAAGGCTCTGCAGGAGGATCTGGATAGGCTGCACCGATGGGCTGAGGTCAACTGTATGAAGTTCAACAAGGCCAAGTGCCGGGTCCTGCACCTGGGGCGCAATAACCCCAAGCAGAACTACAGGCTGGGAGAGGAATGGTTGGAGAGCTGCCAGGCAGAGAAGGACCTGGGCAGTGATGGTGGACAGTCGGCTGAATATGAGCCAGCAGTGTGCTCAGGTGGCCAAGAAGGCCAACGGCATCCTGGCTGGTATCAGAAACACTGTGACCAGCAGGGCTAGGGAGGTGATCGTCCCCCTGTACTCGGCTCTGGTGAGGCCGCACCTCGAGTACTGTGTTCAGTTTTGGGCCCCTCGCTACAAGAAGGACATCGAGGTGCTTGAGCGGGTCCAAAGAAGGGCGACGAAGCTGGTGAGGGGCCTGGAGAGCAAGTCCTATGAGGAGCGGCTGAAGGAGCTGGGCTTGTTCAGCCTAGAGAAGAGGAGGCTCAGGGGTGACCTTATTGCTCTGTATAAGTACATTAAAGGAGGCTGTAGCGAGGTGGGGGTTGGCCTGTTCTCCCATGTGCCTGTTGACAGGACGAGGGGGAATGGGCTAAAGTTACGCCAGGGGAGTTTTAGGTTAGATGTTAGGAAGAATTTCTTTACTGAAAGGGTTGTTAGGCACTGGAACGGGCTGCCCAGGGAGGTGGTGGAGTCACCATCCCTGGAAGTCTTCAAAAGACGTTTAGATGTAGAGCTTAGGGATATGGTTTAGTGGGGACTGTTAGTGTTAGGTTAGAGGTTGGACTCGATGATCTTGAGGTCTCTTCCAACCTAGAAATTCTGTGAAATTCTGTAAAGGAAATCAGATTCAGATCTTTGTTAAACCTGCTGCTAATACCTGAGTCTTTGAACTCACTTTGAGTATGACTCAGAAACCCATAGTCAGACACAGGTAGGGAGATGACTATGGTGTATTTGCAGGTAAAATATGTCAAAGAACCTTCTCCTTGGGTTGAGTTTCCTGGATGTTAAATGCTTTGTGCCCAGTTAAATCACATAGCTTCAGACAAGCCTAGAAGGCATCAAGACATGTTCTACCAAAATAGGCAAGCATGGAAGGATTCTCCAAAAGATCTGGAGAAAGGATTAAAAAATTTCTTGCAAAATTCTGGTAGATGTGAAGAGCATCTTTCAGCAGCTCACATTGCTGAGCTGACTGTCAGTGCATGTTCAACTGGAAATTGCCAGGTAGTTCCTAATTTTCAATAACAAAATGTCATCTTTTCTGGCTTCAGGTTTGATGAGTGGTTCTTCCATGAACTAAACCCTGGATTGTCTTGTTATAGTTGGGGATACATTTGTTTGTACATGTTGTTCCTTTTGTTTGTTTGTTTGTTTCAAGCAGCAAATTGTTACTGTATTTATTTCCAGATGGAGCTGAATTTCAGTGCCAGTGAAATAATCACAATGCAGCCACCACCTAATTTGCAGCATTCACAGTGCCCCTTACATACCCTGATCCAGTCAGTTACAATTGCATCCGGCACCTCAATAGTTTGCAATGGGGTTTGGAGCCAGAGGAATAGCAACATATGAATATATGTACTCATAATATCATTTCTAAACTAGTGTGAGGGAATTTAAATTCAAATAAAAATATTTTTTAGGCTGAATACAAAAGGAATTGAAGCTTGGCTAAACCAGGTTTAATTATATTTTCAGAAATCTAACTCATTCTATTTTAAAGTTCAACCAGTTTAAATATTGAAGTATGAAACCAACCATCAAATGATGGTTGATAATGAATTGATAATGATTGATTTTCTGTGCTTTTATAGCAACTCACGGACACATGAATCATTGCTCTTTGCTCATGTTACAAGCATACAACTTGGTAATCATTACATACAGGCCTCAGAGGCTGATTAACACATTTCCATAGAACTTAATGTCTTCTGCAGAAAGCAAGCTGTTAGAGTCAATTACTTTGAGTCTGTAGAAACTCTATTTTCTTTTTAAAATCTGGATGTAAAGTTTAAGACTCCTTACTAATATACTAATCTGAACTGCTCAGAAATGTTTCCATTGTTGAGCATAGGGTGTGACAATAGAAATACACTGTAGTTCTATACAACATAGTATTACACTGTGGTCACAAAACATTAAAATAGACTTAAAAGAGTATATTATGCTACTCCTGGAGTGGGGCAGATATCTTCAAATGAGACCTTTTTTTTTTTTTTTTTTTTAATCAAAATCAAACCAAACCAAAAAAAAAATAACAGAAACCAGAATTTTTGCAGAACTGCATCTGTAAACCAACAACAGTTACAACAGTTGACTTCAGGCCCTAGCTGGAAGATCTGGTAAAAGAGTCCACCTGAAAACAGACACTGTGTTTAAGACTAAAGAGCCAGGTCGAGGGTTCTTTGCTCATTTAATCAAGTAGGGTGATATAATGTCCAAAAATTTGCCTCAAACCAGACAGAGCAGAGACCTGTCTGGGGCTGCAGATAACCTTACATGAGTCCTCCACCCACTGTGGAGCTCACTATGACCATCTAACAAGTGAACTCTCTGACTCTTTTTGTCTTGTGAAACTTGGCTTCATCCTGATAGGAGAGGAAAAAAATAAAAGGACCTGGAAATTTTTCACCAAGTGACATTCCTGTTTTCTGAATAGTTGTGGTGCTTCCCTGAATGTCTTAATCACATTTTGGTTTACAGGAAGATCACAAAATCACAGAACTTTTGGCCTGAACAGATCTCAGGAGTTTGTCCTGTCTACTTACTGCCTTAGACAACATCAATTGAGTCTTTGTTGTTTCTGACAGATGTTGGAAATGTTCCTAAACATTTCTGCTGCTTGGAAAGTCTACAGCCTCCACAGGATTTTTCCTCACACTTTTAACCCCCTTTTCCGTGTTGTAGCTTAAGAACATTATTTCTTTTTCCGTGAATAGCCAACAAATATATTTAAAAGAATTTAGGATGTTTCTTTCATGTTAGTATTCCTGGCATAAAAAATAGCCCATTAACTTTTCTCTACCAGTTAAATCCTGGTTTGGGGCATGTATTAGGTCTTGCATTGGAGTAAAGCCATTTCTGATTTGTAGCAGTCAGATGCACTGTTACACTTTCTCTCTTTTGACTCTGGTGTGCATAACTTTGTCCAATACCTTTTTAAGCTTTTGTCCAATACTTACCTGGAGTAATTTGCTACCTGTCACCTCAGTCCTAATTTAAAATATTCCTCATTGCATTTGGAAGTGTGGAAAGCTGTTCTTACTTGTTTTCTTTTGGGGGAGTCCATCCTCTCTCAGTAGTTCACAGAATATCATCCATGCTTACAAAAAGCAAAGCTCCGCTGCTGTCATTATTACACAGCCATATTTATCCCCAGGCTTTTATTCCTGTTTGATCCCTGATTTTTTATTTTTATTTTTTTTTTGTGGAAGGGCTGGTGAGAGTAACCCCTGCCACTGCCAGAATACTGTAGTCACTTACGGTCTGCTTAGGCTCACCCTAGTGTACAAGGAGCCCAGATGTGCCTCTTGAAGCTGTCAGTAACATTTTGAATAGCAATACTTGGGGCTAGGAGACAGATAGGCTCCTTCACTGCCACCAGGGGGAAGTCACTAACTACTTTTACATTTTGTTTTCTGCCCAAGAATTAAGGTTGTGAGGCTCCAATTATTTGTGCCTTTTCCTCATTGGCCTTTGGCATTGTATCTCCCTATACTACCCCAGCTGCATATTTATTTCTGGGGATGAGGAATAGCAGCTTTTCTCCAAAGAGGTGCACTGCCTGTGGAGTAGCTGCTGCTAAGTGGTGTGACTACAGCCGTGCCCAAACCTTTCCTTTTGTGGATAACTGTTACACTTGGCTCTAACTTTAAATGGTGACCTAGAAGGTCTGCAGCATCTCTTTTCAAATGGACTTGACTCATGTTTTTCTCTTCTGCTTGAGGGAAGACAAGAATCAAGAGCTTGGTTCTTACCTTTTATCCACAGACCACGTACAGCTCCCATATTACAGAGCATTTGGCCAG